ACGGTCGTCGACGCGACGTGTACGTAGCGTCGGTCGAGTAGAGAAGAAAGAAAAGTAACGTATTATACTATATATATATATATATATATATATATATATATACACACACACACACACACACACACACTTTTTCTTTTTTTGCCTTGTCCAGATCAAAATCCAGCAACAAGCCAAAACATTCAACCCCAAAGTAGGCTTTTTCTGTTTTTGATTTAGAAAAGGAAAGAAAAGTCAAGATTTTACAACTTTTTCCTTTTTCTGATTTAGGACATTAGGGCTTTTAAAAAAAATTGTGTGCACATTTGTTTCTGTTTTCCATTTTTATTTTGACCCTTTCGAAGGGATTTCACAATTCATAAAATCCCTTAAAACAATATAACTGAAATGCAAGGAAAAAAAAAAGTTCTGTGCATCATTTTAATTTTTTAGTTTTATGTGTTTAAAAAATTCTGTAAAATTGCTAAACTTTACAAATATTTGTAAAATTATAAGAGCTTTAATAATTTGTGAAATTCTTTTGAAAATATAAAATGAAAAGGCAAATATGTGGCGCATTTTTTGGTTTTCGATTTCAACTTTTAAGCACTTTAGCAAAATACAAATTGAAAAAAGCCCTCAAGAAATAAGAACTGAAATGCAGAAAAAAAAAAAATGTTCCTTTTTTTTTCTGCAAATTTGATTTCTGAGGGATTTTTCATTTTGTGATTGTAAAGATACTTGAAAGTAAAGAGAACATGCAATCAAAAAAAAAAACAAAAACAGCGAGAGCGTGTTGTTTGTATTTTCAGTTTTGAATTTTAAGGGCTTTTACAAATTGTAAAATCCTTTAAAAGGTAAGAACAGAAATTGCAAGACACAGAAAAGCAAAATGCGAAATACAAATCGTGTTCTATTTCCTTTTTTGGTCTTTTTAACGGCTTTTGCAAAAAACAGAAAGTTTTATACTTTGTGCTTTGTGTTGTTTTTGCATTTGTCTCCCAATCACGGTATTTAATTTGAAGGGCCTTTACAATTTGAAAAAGCCCTTAAGAGAAAAATCAGAAAACGGCAAAAAAAAAATTCCAAAAGTAGTCGGTATTGAACTTTTTCTATGCCTCATTATAAGCCTCTTGTTTACTTCCATTCATCATGTTTTGTGCTTGAGTATTGAATTATTGTTACTTGACGGTTATTTGTTGCTTTTAGCTTTTTTATTTTTTTATACTTTATCTAGATTTATTCTATTCTTATTTTCCCTATCTTTTGCTTTTTGATATATTTTTTTATAATTTTTAAAAATTTTAAATCACCTTGTCGGTCCTACTCGTGAACCGGTCTAGCTGGTTCAACGGTCACGGTGCCCTCACCGTCCCGTCTTGAGAAAACTGATATTTATGTAACTAGATAAATGGCTGATGTGGAAATCAAAGTAGAGTTTAGAGGATTTCTCATGCATCTAAATCTAAATCAGCCAAGAAACCTACGAAAATCCAACCTCTATTACTCATCCAGAAAATCTTGCATAATTCTAAGCATGTTTCCCAGAAAATGTAACTTAAAAATTTTGCTAAAACCCCGTTACATATAGGAGGCTGCCCTTACACAAAACCGCCACTAGCATGTTTTCAAGGGGCTTTGTGTTGTCCATGCATGATTCCCCATAGCACAAACCCTAGACATTGTGAGTGTGCCATTCGATGCTTGAACAGCCAAATCCCAAGGCTTGGATCAGCGACATGCTAGCCATAACTCTCACTGCCCACAACTTGTATAGCTTGAAAGCCACTTGCACATTCCATGAAATCCCACAATTTTGACACTTGATGCCCTTGCTCCTTAATATAATAACTTTTTACTTAAGGGTATTTTAAGCAATTAATCAAGGGTAGACTAGATTTTTTGTTTAAATAAAAGCATTTATTAGTTATAGTGGAGAATGACATCACCCACATGGGATGTGATATCATCTACAAGGTGTGTGACATCACTCACATGCTGCATTACTTACTTCTTAACCACTACTAAAATGCCATTGTCCTCCACTAAAAGATCTATTTACCCCTTGACAGAAATTGCCCTTACTCAAAAGGCAGATGTATTAAAATGCAAGGGGAATGAGTGTCCAACTCCAATATATGTTGAGTAGGTTAAGAGGAAAAGACATTGTAGCTGCCTAAAGAAAACCTAGCTATATTTATGCATATCTGTATTATGCTCCCTATTGTTGAAGTTCCTCATACTCCCTTTTGCTAGAGCTCCTCCATATACATGGAAAGCACACTTGCCTCCCATCTCTCTCAAAGCAACTCCTAACTGAAGCATCCATGTTGGGGTTAGCTTCAAAATACAGCAATAATTCTTCTCATAATGAGGCCGCCTCTCATCAAATTTCAATCCACCTATCTAAACCTTAATCTCCTCCAAAAAGTCAATAAGAGCTGTTGAACAAAGTCACCTTCAATCCTTATATAGTCTAGAGAATGAATCTACACAGGTCCCATTCCCATCCACCCATTTCCCTATTGTCCTTAAGCCCCCATCACTTCAACCCAGTGTTTCAAAAATCACCGATCCGATCCAGAATCGAACGATCCGGATCAGGTATCGGTGATAACCGATCTAAATGCAATATCAGTAAAACCGGGCGGTTCCTACTTTTTTATTTTTCAATCCGGTTTTCTTTTTATGCACCCACCCTGGTTTTTTTGAAATGTGATTGACAAACTTTTATGCCAACTGGCACTCCACCTTACTCCCCCCACGTGATTGCCAAATGTGATTGACAAATTTTTATGCCATCTGACACTCTTGTTTACTCCCCCCACGTGATTGCCAGCTTAAAAAGTCTCTATGTGCAATACGCATGCTTCACATGGCCAAGACAACATTCAACGCAACCAGATCGTTGGGTTTTTTTATAGTATTCATTCTGCTCACATCGCTTCGATGTGGGATATATCTGTGAGTTGAAAAAACGCTGGCAAATATTATTAGCTTGGGATAAATTGCAGTGAGATGGTGTACGCGCGATGGTATACGCACGACAGTGTACGCCCGTCATGAATAAGAAAGTTGTATGTCCGACTGTGGCAATGAAATTTGATGATAAAAAAAGAAAAAATTATGAAAAATAATAATTAGGTGCCCATCACCCCTATCTTTCACCAAAAAAATTTAAATTTACTTATCAAAAAAACATAAAAACTCTATTAACCTATTATATCATGGTATTATTTCATTATATGAGTAATAATTAATTAATTAGGATTAAAAAATTAGTACTAGCTCATAGGATAAAAAAAATAAAAAGTAATACAAAAAGCAAAAAAAAAATGTAGTACAACATCTTCTTCTTTTGTCCCAAAAAAAAAAAAAGATATTCAACAAGTATCGTATTTTTCTTGTTAAAAAAAAATAAAC